GTGCGATTTCACGCCGTTAGACTATTTCCTGTGGAGCTACATCTCCATGGTCTATGCAAACAAGCCAGCGATGGTGGCGAACTTCGTACGAATACCGAACGTGAAATTGCAGCAGTATCGGCCGATTTATGCTTGAAAAACGTCGAAAATTGGATTTAGGGTCTGGACTTCTGAAAGCGAGTCCATGATGGCCATGCAAAAGAAATCGAGTTCCATACATAATGGCATGGTATATATTTTCACTAGAATTGTTTTTGTTTCATTTAAAAACTTTTCTTGTGGTTTTATTGAAAAACAGTTAATAAGGAATATAGGGTAGTAAAATTTTAAATATAATATTAACTTTTATTATGCCACATAATAAAGAACTTTCCCTAAAAATTAATTTAAAAAAATGTTTATTGAAAATATTAAGTTCAAAAATGTTATGAAGAACTAAAAAGAGATTTTACGAAATTTTAAATAATTTTTTATTTTTGTGCTTATATTGGATTTGGTATTTCCGGCGATTTTTTAGTTCTTGCAAAATATTTTTTTTAATTTATCTTCTTATGGTCTGAAATGGATGACCGTATTCTTCGAAAGGGGTCATCTTCGATGAGATAATGCTACTTTCTAAAATATTGATACTGTATAGTACTTGTATTGGGATTCGTAGAAATAACAAAATTTCACGATTAAAAAAATATATAATTTTTTTTTTGCAATTTACTTTACCTTACTTTTGTGTACGGCCTGAAACCTAACAAATAGTTTATATAAAATGTAAGAAGTTATGAAAAAAAATTTAAGAGGTTATGAATTATTGAAAAATAAGATACGAGTAGTTTAAATCATATTTAGCAGAAAACACCCTATATAGGGTATGGCACGCTAGTCTCAAATAATTTTTGCATAAGCTTCATTACGACAACAATTTCTGAATATAAATACCAATTTTTCCTATATAATCTTAAAGTTTGAAAACAAAACGCAAACTAACCAGCGAGTAGCACACAAAAAACCAAACAACCAAAAACGGGTTCGTGCCTGAAGTCTTTTGATTTGGAAATATTTTCGCTTGGCAAATCATTCTCGAACTGCGTTCGCATGCGATTAATGCATTGATGAATGTTTTACATAATCCAACGCAACCAACAACTCACACAGTGTGGCAACTAATGTGGAAATTTACATGAAACATAGCAGCAACAACAAGTCAAAGCTAATCCATTAATTTGCAATTTTAGCAATATGCGGGTTGTAATGAATTTACGTGCGCGCAAAGCAACAAACGCTTGGCTTGCAAGCTTAAGCCAAAACATAGCGAATTAAACAAAAAAAAAAACAAAGTTATTGCAAAGAAGTAACGGATATTAAGACAGCGCGCAGCAGTGCACAAAATCGAATTAGCCGCCATGATGATCGAAAGTTCGAAGTTGCAAAAGAAAAATTGGACGTTTTGTTGAAAATGGAAAAATCCTGAAAATGTGCTTTGAAAATCGATTAATGTCGTGGGATTAAGTATTATTAATGCACGTGAGCATATGTTTGAATAGGTGCGCATATAACGGTTCATGCATATGCATTCGTTTTCTATAAAAATTGATATTTTTTACCTTTCTTGTAATTTGCAAAAATTACATAGTTTCTGCGACGTTTTGGTGATGTAAAGAAAAAAACTACAACAAGTATAAAAAATTGTCTACAACAACAATAAATGTCAACTACAATGCACTCAAGAGTCAAAGTGTACATTATTCGCATGACGACAATTTCCGCATGCCACAAACAACAAGCTAACACATAAGATTGCCCTCTGACGCCCGCGAATCGTACACACACTCACATATATGTACTTTCCTAAATTAACTCCAACACGTAATATTTGTAAATAGGTGTGTGCGTGTGTGTGACTGCTAGTCCATGTACATATGACAGTTATTTTCACTGCGCATAAGCAAAGCTATAAAATATATCCAAATGTGTATATATACACATACATACACACACATACATGAACGGCATTTGTTCAGCTGTCAAATTGCAAGCCCAAAATGGCGCGAATTTGAGGTTATGGGTGAGAATTACGCAATTGATGTCAGCTTATGCCAGGAAATTCGCTTTCTTTGGCGGCAACTATGCATGCATGTGTGTGTTAGTGTTTCATAATGGAAAAGCATATTATTTAAGCTTTGTTTGCCAGTTAATTCATTTAAGGCGCCTAAAATGTGGCACTAATCCAGCATTTCGACCCAGCTTAGGTAATACTTGTGCAATAACTTTGTTGTTTTTGTATTTTTTGAAGTTAGATTATTAAAATTGTGTTTGAAGGAAGTTATTATCTTGCCATAGTGCTTTTGGACTCTCCTCTCAGGGTGACTAACGCTTTTGATCCGTTGACTAATACAATTTTACATTGAAGAAAAATTACGATCAAAAATAGAACTATAAAGAAAGCTTCACTAAAGATGTAAGAGGTACACTTCATAGCAAACTCCAAAGGTTTTGCAGGGATTAATTTTTCATAGGTACTACATATAATATAAAAAAAGTGTTTGCTTCGACTCATTCTATCTCTAATATCATTCAAAAATAAGATTAAAATTTCAGATATACATTGCGATCTGTGGTCTATTTTCTCTCGAGAAGACTTGATACAATTACTTGCTTTAATTCTGATCGATATATATGTATGGCAGCTATATGCTATAGTGCTTCGGTTTCAACATAAAAGATTATTTCATACGGAGACTGGATTTTAACCTGTCATGGATATACGGACGACATTGTTATCAGTCGCAGGACCACACACCAACCTCTCCATACCCATGCAAAGTTTTCCGAGCATATCCCAAGCAAGCAAGTATTTGCTATAAGTCGTGCAGCAATTCCAACGCAACTATCGCAATGAACGTATAGTTATACTCAGTGACAAAATCTGAATTTATTACGCAAAATCTATAGCGTTCCCCTCAAAGTACTGCCACTTGACACCAACATACTTGTGACGATTTTTTCAATCCTCAAAACAGTTGTTAAAGTCAATTTCCGGAACAGTCTTCAATGCACGTAGCGATTCAGCCAAGATTTATCGCTAGTAATAATACGTTTCATGATATACTGGTAGTCGGAAAGCATTGTTACACAGAAGTAAACGTTCTTTCACTTCTCTATGAACCAAATGATCTTTTAAAATGTTTTTCACTGATCCTTCTCATATTCCAATGATGCCAGTAAGATCTCTGAGTGTTAATCGGCGATTCTCAAGCATCAATTCCTTCATTTTATTGACGTGTTGAACACCAGTTGATAATCGTTCTGAACACCGTTCGTCGTCAACGCGTTCTGGATCCTCTTTGAATCACCTGTACCAATTAAAAACATTTGCTCACCAGAGGCTATTCCAACACTCCGAACATTTCAGCACCAGAAATTTTATTCCGCACACAAAATTTAATGGAATCTCATCGTAAAAATCGGGGAGAGACAAGCGTATAATAAACCGTAATGATTATTTTGATGTGACATTTGGCACAGGTGTCAACAATCTAGAAAACAAATATTTCGACGAATGGATTTATGCGTGAAAGTTAAATTAAAAATTCTTACTATTTTTTGCTCATAGCTGTATACTATTTGTCTTCATTTTCCAATACATGCATTTGGATTTTTGATTTCAAAGTCGGTTAGATCGAACTCACTCACTTATCTAATATTGCTCTAATGGGCTTAACTATGTTATTTTTATTTATAATAAGTTGATTTATCCATCTGTCACAGAATCATTTCTTTCCAAAAAACTTTCTTAAAACCACCCACGTAAATGATTATATCCATTTCACTCGAAGATGAAGTAATCATAAAGCTTTATCGATAGAACCGAGGCGTAGAGGCATAGTCTTTACGAAGATCCATAACTTATGCTCTAAAACAGCGAAGACTAAAGAAAACCACTCATTGGAATTGTGGGCATCTTAATAGTGACGCTTTAAAATCCTTTGGCCAGAAATAAGCTCAATAAAATTAAAGATGAAATTAGGACGTTTTAAAAAGTTTATTTAATTATCCTTACTTTGTGAAGTCAGCAGATATTTTCCGCTCTGGCGCACCATCCTCTCAGTCCCTCGACATAATGTAAGTAAACATAAAGTCAACCATAAAAATCACTTCAAGAAATTTCCTTGCCCAAACTCAGTGTCAACATAACTCCACCTTAAAGCCAATTACTAAGTACAATTTAACTCTAATGCCTAAAAACAGACAATTTAGCATCGCTAAGCTTGAAAAATCGCATACAATTAACGCAGTCAAAAGACAAACCGACACATAAAATGGCTGGGTACCGCTGATCTCGTTTTGCAACAACAACAGCAAATAAAATTAAGAGAAGCAGCGTAAGCAAGCGACCGCACGCTACAAATGGCCGCGACAAGTATTGATTAGACGCGCCACTGGCTGCCACTACCGGCTTCTGGTTGGTGGCTTGTTCGGTTGGATTTCAATGCGCCGACTAAGCAGCCCCACCACGCAGTGCCATGGTCAAAAGGTGCCATTCTAGCTACACGTCGCCATAACCAGCAAGCGGCGCAACTAAATTTATAGCATTGCGCATGCGCGCAATTATTTAAATTGCATTGGCCCGTGCAAGGCAATAGACAAATACTCGTGCACAGCGCGACAACAACAATAACTAGGAATAAAGGAATAGAAATAATAAAAACCGAAAGCATTTGAAAGACTACACCCGCTCTCTAGTACAGCCTAGGCGGCGATGCGGTGACGAGCCGCACAGCTAAACTGCTTAATTATATTGTCTGCGCGACGACTGCGGTTATTTTATGGTCATAAAGTGACGGTTATTTAGCGACAAATTCCATTTACGAAACGAACGTGGCATTTACATTTTAATTGTGCACTTATTACTATTTACAAGTTTGTGTCGCCGCGCTTGACATTAATTGCGATTAAAACGCGCTAATTTACACGCATTCATACATATATTTTTCCTAACATTGTAGGACCGCGCACGCAACGTTTCGGAGCGCCTCTCCTCGACCACCACGCTGAGAGTGAACGTAGCCGATTCGGACGACCAGGATCCATCGTTTATTTATCGCGGCTGTGTGTTGCTCGATGGCGCCTGCATCAATCCCGAGTACTCCGCCTCGGTGCCGGCTGGGTCGCTGCAAGGTGTGCTCACCGTTACGCCAGAACGCATACAGGCCGTTGACTTGGACACGATCAGCTCGCCAATACATTACTCCTTCGCCAGCGGCATGCCAAACAATTATGCAGATTACTTTGAGATTGATGAGCAGACGGGCGTGTTGAAGCAGATCAAAGCGGTGGACACGTCAACCGCCAAAAAATATGATATTGTCGTAAAAGCCGAGGAAGTGTCAATGGCAAAACGCTTCACCACCGCCAAATTGACGATCAATGTGAAGCCCGTCGATGCCAATCCACCAGTTATAAGTGCCAGCGATATTGACGGCTATGTGGACGAGAACTCGCCCATCGGCACACGTGTTGTTGACGCAAATGGTCGTCCAATCTCTTTTGAGACCACGGACGCTGATTTGGGTGAAAATGATCCCAAGCCCGATTATATTTACGAGCTAACTACGCCTTCTTTTAACGTTACAAACGACGGAATTTTGATTGTCAATGAGGAGGGTTTGGATCGCGATCCACCAGCGCCCGGTCGCTACAAATTCCAAGTTGTTGCACGTGAACCGCGCACAAATGCGGCCAGTGCGCCACTCAGCCTTACCGTACACCTGCGCGATGTAAATGACAATCCACCCAAGCTCGCAATGGTGCCACCAATCACGATTACCGCCGGTGATGGCCAACGCAATGTCACTAAGGTGATTGCAACCGACAATGATGAAGGCGAAAATGCCATAATCACATATTCCATCTATCATGTATCCAATAACGGACAGCAGAAGTTCCACATCGACGAGAAGACCGGTGAAATAGAGACGAGAGGTCGGCTATTAGCAGGCGAACAGTATAGCATAACAGTGCAGGCAACAGATAATGGTGGGCTTTCTTCCCAAGCTATTGTCGAAATCGCCGTAACACCAGGACCGAATACGAAACCGCCAAAATTCGTCAAACCCATCTATGAGGTGCAGGTTAGCGAAGGTGCTGAGATCAATTCCACCGTAACGGTAGTGCATGCTGAAGATCCTGAGAATGATCCGGTGGTGTACTCAATCGTTTCGGGCAACGATTTACGGCAATTCGCTGTGGGTCAAGAAAGTGGTGTCATTATGGTGATACGTAAATTAGATCGTGAAAGTCTCACACGCTATCAACTTACTGTGTTAGCCGAAGATAATGGCGGCTTATCGAGCAGTGCTACGGTGAATATCAAGGTGACCGATATCAATGACAAAAACCCCGAGTTCGATGAGTCTACACTACCGTACGTATTCAAAGTGGATGAGGGACAGAAGGATGCTTTTGTCGGCATTGTACATGCTACCGATGCAGATGAGGGTATCAACGCTGAGATCACCTACTCCGTGCCGCAAGACATACCCTTCGCCATCGACGGTAAGTCGGGCGAGATACGGACCGCCGCGCCTTTAGATTATGAGCGTCAGAAAGAGTACCGCTTCGTGGTGACCGCCAAAGATGGTGCGCCAGATGCGCGTCTCGGTACGGCGAGCGTTACAGTGCAGGTGCGTGATCTGCCCGATGAGGTGCCGAAGTTTACGGATGCACGCATTGATGTGCATGTGCCCGAGAATGAGGCCGACTACTTGGTAGCAACCGTACAAGCTTTCGATCCAGATACGGTACAACAGATCACTTACGTGCTACGCAAAGGTGCGTCTGAGCTCTTCAAGGTGTCGGCACAAACAGGTGAAATACGCACCACCACTGGACTGGATTATGAGAAGAAGCAGAAGCATGAACTTATTGTTGGCACAATTGAGAATGATGGCGATGGACCCGGTGACACCATACACATTTTTATCGAAGTTGACGATCGCAACGATGTGCGGCCGGTCTTCGCGGCTGTACCGGAACCTGTTACAGTTAACGACGATCAATCAATCGGTACGCGTATAGCAACAATGGCGGCTATAGATGGTGATGGCTCATCGCCTGGCAATGTGGTGCGCTACGAGATGGTCGGACGTGGCAAGGCATTAAAGTATTTCCAAGTGGATGCCGATTCAGGTACCGTGCGTATAAGAGATGATTTACGCAAGGAGGAGGACACCGAGTATCAGGTGGATATACGCGCTTACGATATGGGTGAACCACAGCTGAGTTCCGTAGCCACCTTGCCGGTATTCGTACGTCATCTGTTGATCGATCCGAACGAGAGCAATATGATGGAAGGTAAAATGAATGACGGTGCTATAATGAGTCCAGAGAGCATTGGTTTGGCTTTCAGCGACGACAGTTACACTACTGGCGTGCCAGAGACTACCGGCCTAAATGCAACGATTAAAGTGATACAAGTTATTAATTCAAAGAAGTCACGCGACGGCACACCAAGCTTTAAGTGCGAAATAGTTAACGGCAATGATATGGACTACTTCGATATAATGACCGAAGATCACGGTTGTGGTGTTAAATTGATAAAGCATCTCGATTTTGAGAATACCACCGCTTACTCGTTGAGCATACGCCTCATTTCACATAAATACTTCGTGAATCCGCAAAAAAGCATGGCTACAGTGAAAATAATTGTACAGGATGAAAACGACAATGCACCCGAGTTCATTTTCAATCGTGCGCACTCCACACGTAAAGATACTTTCTACGCGGTGGTGGCTCCCGAAGTAGACATCGACACACCGATCCTGCAAGTGCGCGCCACCGATCGTGATTCCGGTAAATACGGCATGATACGTTACAAGATTTACGATGAAGAGGACAATGTAATCAGCGATGAGAATTTGGTGAGTCACTTTCATAATACATTTAAGTAATAACTCCAATACAAGCTCTTTCTTCCGCTCTCTTCACTCACAGCCCACAACCTACTTCGTCATGACCGAAGATACCGGCATCCTACGCACGGCAAAACTCTTCCAAGACGGTGCGACGTTCCCCATGATGTTCTATGTGGAAGCGCGCGATAACGACGGTCAAGAGCTGGGTTCGCATCACACACGCGCACGCATTGTGATCAATCAGATAACCGATCAGCATCGCATGTCTTTGGTCTTCTCCGATTCGGCGCCAAATGAGATACGCAATCACTACAGCGCTTTGGAAGAACTATTGGAAGAGAAGACCAATGGACTCATTAGCGGAATAGAGCGCTTCAGTAATCGTAAAATTTTGACAGAGAATGGCACGATCATTGAAAATCCCGCCGCAACGGATGTCTGGTTCTACTTGATCGATCCCAAATCCGAGCAGATACTGCCGCGCAATGATACCACGGTGCGTGAGGCGTTACTGGAGCCGACAGCTCGCGCTGAGCTCAACTTTGCCGCGTCTGGTGTGGCGCATGCGACCGCTGAGGGTATATATGCGCCCATTGAGATGAAGCAGCAAGTGACCAGGGTAGGCAACGATTGGAAGTGTTTGTATTTTTGTATTAAATTGTATTTAATGTTTCGTTCTAGGTTAAAGCGGCTATAGCAATCAATGATGACGTATTCCCATACACGCTAATCGCCATCTCGATAATCATACTCATACTCGGCACAATCGGCATCATCTACATTTGCATCTCGTGGTCTAAGTGAGTTTGGAGCGAATGTAATTTAATGTCTTAAATTAAAATATTTGCTTTCCTCCTCCCCTGTTAGGTACAAGAACTTCAAACAGCGCATGCGCCAATATGCCGCGCCCAGCCCCACGCGCTACGACCCGGTAATTGTAAATTCGCAAACGGCCAACTCCGGCGATGCCGTCACTAATATGAAGGAGTATGAGACGCAAGTGCTGGCCATGGCTGTGCCACCAGACGGCGATGATGATCTCCAGTTGGACTTTAGCGCCAAGAATCATGCCTTCTCGCTGGACAACGTCAGCTACATTACGCACAAAGAGAACGGCACGAGTGGCGGTCAGGCGAGTCCATCGCATTCGGATGCAACAACCGCCACAATCACCACACTGCGTCGCAATAACAATAACAACAATTTGAATAATATGGCGCATAATAATAGCAATAACAATAATAATAACGGCATGAATAATCGCCAGAACACATTCAATCGCACGCTGGAAATGAATGCACGCAACAATGCGAACCCGCTAGCGGCGGCCGCAAATGGCACGCTGCCCGGCACTTTGACGCTGGGTCGTCTCAAGCATCAAAATGGCGCCACCCACTACCAGAACGGTGGCTACAAGCTCGACGCTGTGAGTCGCAATAATCTGGCGAATCTACAGAACAATAGCTACAGCACAATGGGTCGGCGGGGAAATACATTTGGCGGGCCAAATGGTCTAAACAGCTTGAATGGCGGCGCTGCTGACGGTAGCGGGAATGTTGGTGAGTTGATGACGAACACGCTGGGACGCAACAGTCATCAGCATCATCACCTCAACAGTCGCGGCTATGCGGACGTGCCGATAACGAACCCGCTCTTTCAACGGTAAGTTGTTTGAAGTGGAAATTTTTTGAAGTGGAAGTTTATTGATAAGGCTAAGGGACAGAGCTCGCAGGAGGTAGCGAACACAGTTTGTTTTTGCAATAAGTGAAGATGAAGACCCTTCTTAAAGTATACTATAGCCCAATATTTTTACTTCTTACGTCTTTTTTTATGTCATACAGTTTTGAGTAAAGTTTGTGGTGTTGCCGGAACAAAATAATTTTACATTTTTATGAGAGAGTTGCCACTTAATTGGTTCGAAAATTTTGAAAAAATCGACATACTACTATAAATATACAGCTTTTGAATGAGAGTTTAACAATTTAAATAATTTATAAGTATTTATTAGTGAGAAGACGCACATTTATCAAAATTAAAAAAAAATATTTAACAAAATATTTTTAAAGATTTGTGGTATTGCTACCTATCAAAACTACAAGTCATAAAAGAAATATTATATTTAGTTGGGAATTTAGTGCCAAATATTTTGATATTTTTAAACGCCTGTATTTAAGTATTTTTAATAAAAGAGTTGCCCTCTAATTGGTTTCCCAACTAATAATTTTTTAAAACTTTGCAAAAATTCGATGTAAGAATGCAGTTTTTAGATAAGCATCATACAAAAATTTTTTGGAGTTGCCACCTAATTTAAATTTTTTGTAATTTTGCAGTGAGTAGACACGCATTTATCAACAATTAAAATAAAATTTAACAAAATATTCTTAGTCTTGTGTTCCAGTAATGTTAACAAAAGAGTTGCCACCTAATTGTTTTCCTATTTAATTATTTTGGAGAATTTTTCAAAACTTTGACATAAATATGCAGCTTATTTAAAAGCCTCATACAAAAAGCATTGGCGCAAAAAGTTGTTGCGTTACCATCTAATTTAAATTTTTAAATTAACAAATTTTTGGAACTTTACAGTGAGAAGACGATGAAAATTTCAAAATAAGATATAATGTGCGTGTCAGCGTGTTTTTTAATAGAGTAATGCTTAAAAAATTGGCTTAAATCTTATAAACAATTAATTAACAGTATTGCCATAAAAACAAAATATTTTAATTTTCAAATTATTTGTAAAAATACACCATGAAATTGCGATATAAAAATTCAATATTACACCCAAAAACATTTATACCGTTTATGTTTGACTTCTTCACTTCTTTATAAGAATGAAATTATGATATTATATATTAAAAAAAAATACCGCAAGACTTTTTTGACAAACTATTATATTGCTATTTTCCTTTTTATTTTCTTTAATTGCAGTACTCAGTATACTTTTTTTTGTTTTTGTAATTTCAATTGATTAATATTTATTTGCACTCTTTTCAGCTCCAATGGGGACCTGAGCCACATAAGTACCACCAATGAAAATGTCACTTTCGGCAAGCGTGACTATGGACAATTAGGCTTCTCTTATTTAAATGATTTAGATCGTTCAGAGGTTGAGACGACAACGGAGCTGTAAAATTAAATAATATTGAAAACCAACGAATATTTACGACAATTTTTTAAAAAGCTAACAAAATAGTAAACACTTATGAGCAGCTGGAGAGAATATAAAATCGAATTAGAAAGCGAAATTATAAAAAAAAAAATATAAAATAATAATTTCTTTCAGACTGCAAAGCGCACTTTAGATACTAAAAATTTACTAACTACTCTCCAGGTTCTCTCTTTTGAAACGGCTCATTTGTGTAGAGCAAACGAACAAATATAATAACAGTAACCCACACAATGCCAAACTGAAATAGTTAAGGAAAATCAACTAAATACCTTGACTCATAAGTACTGTATGATAATAAAACAAATAATGTATGTATGTGTAATGTTAAATAATTGCATTACTTAGCTGCCACTGCATACAAATATTCACTTTGTAGAAATCTTCATTTTCCGAACGAAAATATTTTGCAATTTATTATGCGTATATGTACATGTATGTTTGTATGTAACGAAATGTTGCCATTAAGTAATCAAACTTAGTTTAGCTCAGCATAGGGTAATCTAAAATTAGCTTTTCTACTGCAAATGTATGTATGTAATATAGTAATTAAGTAGTCTAAGCTTGTAAATACAACTAGAAATACAATATATACTAGAAATATGCAAATTTATCAAGTTCTATGTACATATGTACATGTATTGTATAACAATAGATAAATACTTGTAAAATGCAGCTGTTGAATGTAATGATTACTTTTTTGCGTATGAGAAATATGTTTTAGGTGAAAATACATTTTTTAAAGTCATTAGTTGTTAGAAAGCTTGAAAAGGAGTAGGCATAATATTGAGCAATAAAATTTGTGTGAAAAAATGTATGCTTTACGCTTGAAATGTTTAGTTGTTGTAGGAAATTTTTGAATGGAGAAATATGTTTCTAAAAAGGTTTAATGACACTGTATGAAGAAGAAAGAAATATTGCATACAAACAGCTTTATAAAATTTTAAATATTTTCTGCATGTTAATTATGTTGTTGTTGTAGCTGCATAAAGTAACTGTTGAAATAACTTTTGTCACTTCAGCTTGCATTGCAAACAACTATTTCAAGTATATTTCGGCAGATACAACAACAATAATAAGCCATGCATTGCTATTATTCGCTTGTTGTTGCTGTTGTAGTAGAGTAAAATTAAAATTACACAAGTTCAATGATTTAAAAAATTAATATGCTAAAAGAATATTTAGGGTAAGTTAACAATATTTAGAATTGCTAAAAAAATTAAATGGAAACTTAGTTAAATCTTTTTCTGTAACCAAAATATTTTTCTGTAAAAATCATAACCATTTAAAACGGCCGTTTAGGAAAAGCATAGAAAACTCGAAAAAAATAATGTTGCCAGTAACATGTTGCAAGCCAAGTCTAAACTTGTGATAATTATTTCCAACAAATTATCACTTTTCAAAGTTGCGGTATTTGAACTAGCCCCACGAATTCTCAGTAACATGTTGCTGAAACAAATCTTGCAAAACCCAAAGACGTCCCAGCAACATGCATTTTGTAAAGCCGTGGTTCTTACAGTGCATATGTTGAAAATGAAAATTTATTGCAATAATCAAAAACCTAATAGCCGACCAAAAGAAATGTAATTAGCAACATGTTGCGGCAATATTCAAAGTGCTCTTTAAGCTTAAATTTGGACCTGAGATGGAAATTTTGTGCAACGTTCTGTACAAATTTTCTTTTAAAAATATTTTGCGAATATAACGCAGTGTTTTACTTAACGTAATATCCCAACATAAAAATTTCGTGCTCTTCATAATATTTCTTGCAATAATTTTCAATCACATACCACAAAAAAGTCTTCTCTTTAACAAAACTCTTACTTCAGCAATTTCTTTTTTAAATAAATGCATTTGAACTCCCAAAATTTATATTAAGCTTTCTAAACTTTGAAATAGCAAAAATACATTTGTTGAAATAATAAAAATTTGTATAAAACTTTAATTTTTTAAATGTATAAACAAGAATGTATGTAATTATAACTAAACTAGTAATTAGAATAATTTAGTTTATGTATGTAGCGAACAAAAATGTATGTACATAAATTGGTTAAAGAGCGAAATTATATGCCTAAACTGGACTAGTTAAATAAATATCGAATTAATAAAAAAAATAAAAAATTTGTTTCAGTTATCAGAAATATTGATTGCTCTTAGTCATACAGTTTACTCACACATATATACAAGAGAATATTGTTGCTCGCTGGCAACGGAATTTTACAGTTACGAATATTGCGTTGTATATACATGTATTGAGTATTTCTAACAATTGGATATTTTTTTTTAAAGAAAATTGAAATCACTGCCCTAAAGCAATTTTTGGTACGCCTTCACTCAACAACCAGCGCTTTGCACGCCACAGGGTAATGATTTGAAAGTTTAGACTGCTGGCGCCTGTTTGTAGGCAATACTTGTAGTCACACCGTGGATGCGCCACCATTGCCAGCGCGGCAAAAACTGTGACAGCCGCCTGCCTACTCGGCATTCATGAGCGCCTGGTGGAAGTCGACACTGTTGAGCAAACCAAAAATTTGGTTTTCGGCGCACACACCTACAAACAATCTATATGCCCATTTAGTATAGAAGCAAAATAGTTTGTAATACAAAAAGTAAGTGAGTTTACTTACCATACAATATGTGTGTCACATTAAAGATAATGAAAATAGAATTACTTTAGAAGTATTTTTAGTACTAAAATACAGTCAATTTTAATCGAATAAATTAACGAACGCCTAAGCTGCTCTACATGACTCATTTTTGCTATGGTTAAAGCTTTCCAGTTCTCAGTAGACTCAGTAGACATGAGTGTCTTTAAATTTTGCACCGTAAAACTACCACCGAGTGCAGTTTAAAGTTTTTCTCTTGTACTTAAAAAGGCAGGGAAATAAAATAATATATGCTCAGAGTCTTCAAAGCCCCTGAACACTACCTTTGCGAGTAAAAATCGTCATCTTGGCCGCACGCAGCCTTCATTTGTCATCGTTCTTGATAAGGCAGTAAGGAAACCCATTGACCCAGGCCGTTTATGTACTCATTGCATTTGCTCCGGAGTCATCTAGGTGACTGCTACCACAATAAGGTCGTCTACATATGCTACAAATTTAACGGCTTTTGGTTGGTGTCTCTTTAGCTCCCCATCATACTTGAGGTTCCATAGAAGAGTGCCTAGACCGAGCCTTTCGGTACTCCGCTCGAAATGGAGTAGCTCTTGGTGCCTTTATCGGTATCGAATAACAGTTGCCTATTTTCAAAATAACTCCTAATATTATTCAGTTCCGATTATGTATGTATACTTTGTTGATATGTATTGTATATAGGTATATAGGTATACATATATGTGTACATCTAATTGTGCTTTTAGACATTTTGAAAATAAAACAATTTTTAATTTTAGAAGTACTAAAAAGTTTTTGGGCATAAATTTTGTTAGTCAGATTCGATTTTTGCGAAACTTATAAAACAATAATCCGACCAAGCCTTTAACCACTCTATTATGCAAAACCAGAATATATATATTTCTGTGTCATTTCTTTGAAGCGTAAGCAGCAACATGTTTTAAATATTTATCCGAAATTCACAGTATTTTGGTGGAAAGTAGTATTTTTGGCTTGAAAGAAGCCCAGCCTTTCTTACAAGACTTATTAACCAGACCATACTTCTTCTTACTACCATTTAGTCCGCTGGATGTAGAACACCCTCTCTGAAAAACGGTTAACATCAAAACAATTTTTCAAATATTGGCTTCATTGATTATTGGCCGCCACGCCCGTGCAGATATTTAGAGATGGACTACACAAATTGCTATACACATGGGAAAATGCTTCAGATATGCAGTACCTTCAATACTGTATTTCCTAAATAAACGTTAAAATATATTTATATCAATTTTGTTTAATGCTACAATAGTATACATAAACGCTTAAAATTATAAGGATGCTACTAAAACATATTATATAATCTATTTGGTCTAGTTTTGAGGGTATTAAAACGACTATTACATAACAATAGTTTACTATTTTTCACCATGACCCTTCCACTAATAACAAAAAGTAAAATTTCTTAAAATCTCAACAAAGAAATCTCTTTTGAGAACAGCACAATTTTACAAGCATAAAATATTTATCAATTATAATAGATTAATACTACATATTTGAATAATTAGAAATTATAAATAAACTGTTTACAACCGATAACGGAAATACACACATATACACAGGTATATTTTAGTTCGTTACTCGTTTATGCTCACGCGAACAGATCCCTAACGAGTTGAGCGAATATCCGACGCCTAGTCGAGCAAACCACGAACTGTCTTCAGCTTAGCCGTTTATTTACAAGCTTACATTACTAAAACCATTAGAACAATTAGTAACAGTATTTCTACATTACTGCCAAAATCTAACTATCCTATTTATTGCCACCAAGCCACATTTGTATCTGAGCAGAACTGCGTCCTTTCGTCTCCAACACCATGAAGGCCACATAAAGTGTCGCGCTGAGTGTACAAAAACCGAAGAACCAGAAAGTCATGTCCGAGCCCCAAGCGGTGATCATCGAACCGAAACACTTGGTCACCACAAAGACGGAGAACCAATTGGACATGACAGTCAGCGCCACAGCGGTGGCCTTAACATCGGGCAGGAAGAGTTCACCCATCATCAACCATGGAATGGGACCATAACCGATCGAGAAGACTATCATGAAGAGCACTACGCAAAGTAATGGCAGCCAACCTATTGAGGAGACATCTTTACCGCCGTCCTTCATTTGGAAGTAAACACCCAAAATGGCTAGGCAAATAGTCATCATGGTACTACTAAAGAGCAACAGCACTTTACGACCGGCGCGCTCAATCAGGAGCGAGGATGTTAGAGTCATAACGACCTGCACGAAACCGACGATAATTGAACAAACTGAAGGATCCAAAGTGCTGCCGGCCGACTGGAAGATGGGCACGGTATAGAAGATGACAGCGTTAATGCCGGAAAACTGTTGGAAGAACATCAGCAACATGGAGATGATGAGACCTTTAAGGGCGGCCGGATTGCGGAAGAGATCTAGAAACGAGGCATCATCACCGGCCTGATCCAGATCGGTTTGTATCATTTGTATAGCCGAACGAGAGTCACAATAGCGACCCCAAAGCCACTTCAAAGACAAAGCAGCATCGCCGCGACGGCCCTGTGTGCAACGCGGAATTGGAGAGTTATTGTTTATAACTTGTTTCTAATAAGGCTTGAGCGCAAACTCACCTTTTTCAACAAATAGGTGGGCGTCTCCGGTAGCATTAGCATACCAATGAACAATGCAATCGGCACTGTTAGACAGAGCACGCTCAGTGTGGTCCATGACACCACAGCACCAATGAGATAAACCAAAAGAATGCCGAAGGTCAACAACAATTGAAAGAGTGTGCCCAGCGTGCCGCGTATACTCGTCTCAGCGATCTCAGAAATGTACATGGGTGCAACTACGCAGAAGCTGCCGGTCGAAACACCTATAAGTAAGTTGTGTAGTTAGTGTAAATTTTTGCCGGTGCTCAATATCGTGTCTATTTACCAATTACGAAACGTCCAAAGTACAGCCAACCAGCCGATTTGGCGAAAATAATCGCCAACCATGCCACAATGAAGGGCACATCCATAACAAGCGCGGTGTAACGTCTGCCAATCGCATCAGCTATATAGCCGGTGGGTAAAGCGCCAAAGAAGGCACCAATCGCAACCAATGAACTGACCCAAGTCTCTGTAAATGAAATAGAAATTTTATCAGATCGATATTTTTATCAACGTTGAAGTATGAGTTCCTTCATTATTAGTGGTAAAGCTCTAAGATTGGTTTAAGTTAACTGATATTTTTGAAGGCACCTTTTGCCAACAGGTGCCATTGAGAAGTAAAGTTCTCACTCGACAAACGTAGACCAAACTCCAAAAGTTACTCATCATCCCCTTGCTGCTATACGATACAAAGGCAGGAAAGATGACAACATCGGAGGAGTCATCCCTACAAGTTTTCGAGAGAAAGGTTCTACGGAGGGTTAATTTATTACAAGGGATATGAGATGAATTACAGAGTTTTATGGGAAAATCAATGTGGATTTTTTGCTCGGCTCTTCTGGGTCCGGTGATCTAAAGCGGAAATGTATCCACAATTTTTCGTTGATGGTATTTATCACACACTTGCCCAGCTCTCTTGAGTTAAAAAAGAATCTAAAGCTTTTGGTATTGCTCATCGTCACCGTGTCGGTTTTGCGGGAATACTAAATGCAGACAGACGACGAAGAGGTGGTGTATGTCGATCATATTTTCACGG